CAACCGCGCCGCCCTAGCCGAGGGGCTTGCGCTTGCTGAAAGACTCGGACTCGACCTTGCGCAGACACTGGCGGTCTTGCGACAGAGCAACTCCTACTCGGGCGTTATGGACACGAAGGGCGACAAGATGGCTGCCCGCGACTACGCCACGCAAGCGAAGCTCACGCAGCACGCTAAGGACGTCCGCATCTTCGTCGCCGAGGCGCGGCGGCGTGAGTTAGAGCTACCAATGTCCGTGACGCATCTCGCTCTACTGGAAGCCGGAGAGCACGCCGGTCTGGCGGACGCGGACAACTGTGCGATCTTTGAGGTGATTTCCCGAGGGATGAAACCGTGATGGATGTTCCACGTCGAACCTTCTTGATGGGCATTGGCGGCGCTGCCGTCGCGGGCGCGGCCAAGCGGGCGTGGGGCGCGAGTCCCGCTGAGCGGGTGCGTATCGGCCTGATCGGGTGCGGCGTCCGCGGTCGGGCCTTTCACGGTAAAGTCTCAGCGGTCTGCGACCCCGATCCGAAGCGCCTCGGCGAGGCGGCAAGGGCCGCGAGTGTGGCGTCGAAAGACGCCGTTAGCGACTTGCGCCGGCTGCTCGACGATCCGACTATCGAAGCAGTCGTGATCGCTACGCCTGACCATTGGCACACGCCCGCGGCGCTGCTAGCGCTCGACGCCGGGAAGCACGTCTACGTCGAGAAGCCGTGCGCTCACAACTTCCGTGAAAGCCAGTTGCTGCTATCCGCCGCTCAGAACAGCAACCTTGTTGTTCAACACGGCACCCAGTCGCGATCGCAGCCAGCCATGCAGGAGGCGATCGCCAAGCTTCGTGACGGCGTGATCGGCGAGGTCCTTGTCGCCAAGGCCTGGAACATCCAGCAACGCGGCGCAATCGGGCATGAGAAGCCGACGTCGCCGCCGGCTGGCGTCGACTACGACCTGTGGGTCGGTCCCGCCGAATGGGCGCCCTATCAGGCGAACCGGTTCCATTCCGATTGGCACTGGTGGCATAACTTTGGTACGGGCGATATT